GGGATGAAGGGATGTGGGGTAGGGATGAAGAGATGAAGGGATGTGGGGTAGAGGTAGAGGGATGTAGGGATGTGGGGTAGGGATGAAGAGATGAAGGGATGTAGGGTAGGGGTCAAGGTAGAGGGATGTAGGGTAGGGATGAAGAAATGAAGGGATGCAAGGAAGAAGAAACGAGGAGGGTTTGTAGAAAGGAGGTTAGGCGATCGATGGGGGACCGTTGATGTCCGGCGGCTGGCGGGAACGGGGGGAATGGAGACTGTAGGGTGGGGGCCGTCTCTTCGGAAGCTCCGGCGGTGCAGAGTCCCCTGTTGTTCCTGTAATCCTGCAAGAGAGAGAGAGAGAAATAGGAGGACAAAAACGGGGTTGGGGGGGAGGGATGTGAAGACAGAGTCGAAGAGGAAGTGAACGGGTTCGTTGTGCTTCAATAGTCTGTGCAGAGGAAATGAGCTGTGTTCTGGTCGTGGCCCTCTTCCTGAACTAAGTTTATAAAACTACATATAAGTATATATGCTCATACTCATCTTTTAGTCCAGCGTGGAAGGTAGCGGCTCAGGAGGTGGAGTGAGAGAGAGGAAAATAGAAATAAGGGTAAGACAAATAATATTGTATTCATTGAATCAAAGATACTAAATGATTCATATAGTAAGTAAGACGGAGAAATAATCTTTGAATGACTTTGAAAATGAATGAAATTATTTATGAACAAATAGACGTAGCATACAGTTTGTAGGTATGTTACATAATATGACTTTGTTTTTATATTGTAGACTATTCTAGGTCACTTTCCCAACAAAACAGAAACTCCTACTTACTTTTTCCGGCCAAAGGGAACACAATGTCAGCCCGTCCCATCGTAGAGTCAATCCGAGTCGCTCTCTTTGGACCACCTCGGCCTCTTCGCAGCAGCCTCCTCCTCCTCCTCGTCGTCGCTCTCTTCCCTGCGTCGTTTTGTGAAGGAGTCCTCAAGGCCGACGACATCGATCTCAGGGTCCTCCTCCTCTTCAGGTAGCCCATACCTGTACCTGTCAATAATACACTCAAAAGCAGCATTAAAAGCGTCACCATCATATGGGTCAGCGTTAGGGTCAGCGTGAATCAAAGATAGTAAATGATTCATATATTTTATAATATATTTTGATGCTCATACCAACCTTTTTTGTCCACAGTGAACAGCAGCAGCTCAGGTGGTGGAGTATTGTAAAAGTTAAGTATGAGACAGAATGGTTAATAAAACAATATTTCAATTATAAAATAAACATACTAAAGGCATAAACAGATTAACATTATAATACACTGAGCTATTTCTAACTGTGCCTTTACATTATAGATTCTAAATCAGAAGCTCTGACTCACCTTTTTTGTCCACAGTGATGGAGTGAGAGAGGGAACAATAAATCATCCTAAGTAACACGGACAAATAATCTTTGAATGACCAAATAAGAAATTATTTATGAACAAATAGACGTAGCATACAGTTTGTAGGTATGTTACATAATATGACTTTGTTTTTATATTGTAGACTATTCTAGGTCACTTTCTCAACAAAACAGAAGCTCCTACTTACTTTTTCCGGCCAAAGGGAACACAAACATGGTTAGTAACACAAAAGATCTTTGAATTATTGAATTAAGAATTTAATATATTTTAAATGTTACTATACCTTTTTGGGCAATATTATTAAGGCAATTTTAACCCGCAGACTTTAACCAAACTGTCTTTGGGGAGTATCCCTGGTCCCGTTTTCATGAGGTTTGCTCGTATTGGATGTTCTGTATTTAGGTGTCCAGCGCAGTGCCAGTCAATTTTCAAGCAAAGGTGGTAAGTTCCTCTTGTCACATCAGCTTTCAGTGACATCTTTAGTGTTGACCTGGAGAGGATTACAGACACTGAGGGGGATGCATGACGTGTGTGATTCAAGCACACCCCCCCACTGTGCAGACTGCAGACCAACCACTAGGAGCCACTGGTGCTGTAACAAGAAATATTGTGCTCATTGGAACACCGATCAAGCTAAAGGTTCCTTGCCCTGCCAGATGCAAAGGCCGGCCCTCAGGGTTAAAGTGGGACAATCCAACGGCCCCAGTGCAAGGCGCTACATGGGGTGTCATCAGCCCCGCCAGATGCAAAGGCTACCATGAGAACCACTGGTCCTACTTCGATGTGGACTCAGTGGTTATAACTTCCGCCAAATTAGTATGAACGAGGTTCTGTGGAGAAATTAAACCCACACACAGTGCATGCTGGGAAGTGTGCTTAACAACCTCTCTGAATAAGTTGATTTGATGAGTTTAGTTCAACAATTAGTTTTACATTTACTCAAAAATGCCTTGTATAAGTTCTGAAATGTTTCAACAACTAAGGAACACAAGTTAACAAAACGTTCTGCAGAGAGTGATGGACTTTATTGAGCTTTGAGAAGAGCAGGAGTTGAACGTGGAGGAGGAAGAAGCATCTCTGATGCACAGCTCTTGTGCCCTTGTTCTTGATCAGCTCCTGGTAGATCTGGAAGTCTGTGAAGTCCACCAGGGCCTGAGGAAAAAACACAAAGAAAATGTGTTGTGTGAATATATCATACAGCTCCAAACCTAGATTAAATATTAAACATTTGAGTTTACTCCTCAGATATAACAACTTAATGAAAACAGGTTTAATCATTTCTGACATGCATTTATAATCAGATGAACTAAAAATACATGGACAGATAGTGAAACATCTCATATAATTGTGCATTACACTGATAACAAAGCATTGTGGGAGGAAGAAGAGCTCTTTCTGGTGGATGAACCGTCCCGTTCTTCAGATAGTTTCATGTTGATGGCTTTGTGTTCTTCCTTCACTCAACATGATACCTGTGAGGAGAAGAAGGTGATTTCAATTTAAACATGAAGGCAGCTTAAATTCTTCAGGCCAGGCCGACTATTATGACACAGTTAACTATTTGCAATCTAAAAGGGTATATTTACCATTGTGAGTGCATCCTTGGCCTCTGCTCTTTCACTTCTAGGTCTTCACATGGCAATAGGAAAGTTCCTCCTTCACATCATCAGGATACAGATCATCTTCTCAAGTCCGTTCGCGATGGAAAAAATAAACTACTATTATCTGTAAATATTAAGAGGGAATTTGTGCTTAGGTCATCAATACGGGTACATTTAATGAATTTCTGTTCATCTGGCAATTGTGGCAGAATCTACAGGTCTCTCAATTCCCTGGTGAACAGCTGTCTCCTGGGTCAGAGAACAGCTTTTGTTTTTCTCACCTTTGGCGTCTGATCCCCAAAAACAAGATACTAGTCTTCCATGATGGCATTTCACTGGCGTGCTGTGACATAACACCCTCTCCCACTCCGCCCCCTGGCGATTGAGATGGCCTATTGGCGATCTCGAGTAACCCCAAATGGATGACGTGAAAGTAGAAGTGATCACCCAACCTTTATCCCATCCAGTTTGGAGAACAAAATGTAAATGAACAGTAACCAGGCAACAGCTTTCCTCCTGTTCAGGGCTCAATACAAACTAGGTTTTGACCTCATATGTCAGCACAAAGGTTGTGCTTCGTTTTTCTTCTACCATGTCATCTTAAAATAGCTCAGATACCCAACAAAAGAACAGTATCCTGGTCAGGTTGAACTCATGAATTCACAGTGATGGGATTGCGTCCTTCACTGGGCAACACACCCCCGACAAAAGAACAAAGACACAATAAATAGAGGTTTGCTGGAAGAGGCTGTAGGTGGAGGTTTGGGTTGCAGATGTCCACCAGAATCTTCAAGTGGAGGTGGAGTTGCAGGTTAATGGCAGGGACCATAGGTGGAGGTTCAGGCAGACTGATAGTATTTGAAGGAGTAGACGGAGGCTGGAGGTGTCTGGTGAAGGCTCAGGGCTGGAGCTGGACGAGGCTGGAGGTGGAGCAGGTTTCCAGGGGTGTCTTCCAGGATCGACAGGTGGAGGCCAGTAATGTAGATTGCTGTGGAGGGCTGCAGGCTGGAGGATTCAAGTTGCTGGCAGAGGCTGTAGGCGGAGGTTTGGCCTGCAGCTGTTTGCCACAATCTGCATATTTACAACAATATCAGTGACAGTGTAGGTCAAATATTTAAATAGCCCACATTTGATGAGAAGGGGAAAGATCAAAAGAGTATGAAATAGAAAATGATGACAATTTTGAAATACCCACAGTTCAACTTTTTGTCTCCACTCTTTCGATTAAACGATTGAATAAAGTCTTCAGGACCAAATGCAATGACTCACTAATTACACAGGGTGGTGCTGTTGGTTTTGTCTTTGCTCTCTTACAGTGTATACTTTACTCCCTTTTACAAAATGTAATTTATTGTTGTGTGGGATCCTTTGGGTTATATCATGCGTGTACATAAGACACCTTAGCATGGGGCACATATAGTGTCAGCCTACGTTTGATCCTTAGGCTATATGTCTTCTTTTTTATTAAATTATTGAGTGGGTTGATAATCCTGACCTGACTTGACATTTCAGCAATGATTTTGTTTTTATAGTATGCAGCAACTGTAGCTTGATGCAACAAGTTCCAGTAATATGTGGGCATGATGCATTGATAAGATACATTCGAGAATAATTAGAGAATTGTGAAACTAAGAAATCAGTGAGGTTATGTGTGGTGCAGATATTATAAGAACAGTCAAACGTTGTCATTTTTAAATTTATACCCATTCACATTCACATAAAGATACATTTTTGGGGAAAAAGCAAATTATGAATGAATTTAACTAATTTTGAAGCCGCAGGTAAAGTAAAACAAGACAAATGGCAGCTATCTTAATAAAGTTACAGGAGTTTGGTCTCCTTACAATTTGTTTACGTCACCCGATTTCTTCCTCCAACCTTGTCCCTCTCAGCGATTGGTCAGATTTCTGCTGATTCAAACGGCTCCGCCCTCCAGCGCGACGCTGCATTCTCATTGGACACCACGGACGCCAGTAAGCAGGTGCCTCGACCCCGCCTTTCCCCTCTCCTCCGTGCCCTCAGGTTGTTCGTCAGTCTGTGAAACCTGTGATGAGAGTTTTAATAATGGCGTGGCCGTGGCGGGGGGCCGCCGCTCACTGCCCAAGTCCAGCACCGGAAAACCACCTGTAAAAACACCCGTTTCGGAGCTTACCGGTGGTTTGAAAAAGTCATTTAACCGCGTGCAACGATGCCGGACGGAGTAAATCTCAGCTGAGAGCCGCAAAACTGTGTGAAACTACTGGAAGAAGCGCTTTGCCATGTCGCTACTGTGTGTCAGAGGTGAGTTTAACTTCTCTTCTTATAGTATTTCTTCAAGTGGTTAGAAACGACACGAAGTGTTTCACACGTAAAAGTTACAAGCGGAGTGTTTTTTATATTCAATCTGATAATGTCAGTGAAATCTTGCAGAGCAGGTTTTCTGGCAGGATGCCCCCCCCCCCCCCTAAAGGGACAATAAAAGTGTCTAGGAGCCTACATTCGTCCTGTCGTGATTTAACTTTTATTTTTATTTTTATTTTTTGTAAACGCAGACTGTAAAGCATCAGTCGCATAGCTGTTAGCTCTATTTTATCGGAGTTTTCCACAGACTGCCACACCAGCTGTTAACGTTAGCCCATAACTGATCCAGCTATATTGACTTATAAATAATCACAACAACAGACAGTATACTTTATGATCAGTGTAGGATGATGAGTTTAAAGTAAGAGTTATGCATCAGGAGATGATATATTGATGGCTAAAAATGAAGGGTTATTTGATTTTTAATTAGTCAGCAGATGCTTAAAGGGACAGTTCACCCTGAAATCAAAAATACTTATTTTGTCCTCTTACCTGTAGTGTTTTTCATCGAGGTAGATTGTTTTGCTGTGAGAGCCATCACGATACATTTTAAAAACTCAACAGCAATGTCTCTATTCCAGAAATCAAGACCTGATTACTCAAGATCGTCCTTAAACCTCGTAATGAGTGCTTTCATGTAGGAACTATTTTCATTCTATCGTAGTTGCAAGTGGAACCGTCCCTTTAAAATCCCATCGACAGCAATGGTAATAGAAGTACGGGTTTGTGTACTATTGCTGGATATTTTATCTTGGCAGCCAAAGATATTAACAATGAATATATGATAACGATAAGAGCAGTTCTCTTTAGCTCTTTAGTTCAGAGGATGACTAGAAGACGTAGCTTTTACTATTCCATCAGAGAGAGAAAAATATGTTCATTATGGGTTATCCCCTCCTCCAAAAAACTGATACTATGTTTTTCTTTAGTGGTCCAAATGATAATAGTAACAATGTAACTATTGACCTTTATGTCTAGATTCAAAACCAGTTCAGAGTCTCCCTTCCATGGACATGTTTATGGGTAATAACAAGACTAAAGCTGGCCGGGTTAACACTAAACAGAAGTCGGAATCCTTGCTGCCCTAGCATCCTTTACCGCAGCAGAGCGCATTATGCAACATCCTGTTCTGTGCCAGCGAGCCAGCATTTTGGTCCAGTCTGTAATGATGGAGCCACCCCCGACAAAACGACGTGTGATATCTTCTTTTTTCATATACATTTTGGCATAAAGGGTTATTGTATTTGTTTAAAAAAAGGGCCTAAATATAGAAGAAAACTTTTCTTCTTCTTTTTTTCACCCTCTTTTAATTTTTTGGAAATGAGGATATTTATTTTAAACTCTTATTAAACAAAAAAAAAATCTTTGAAACATAATTTATAAATTAAGGCTTTTTTAAAATATTGAGGATGATGCAGGAGATGAAATCTTGGGGGCGTCCCAGAATTCAAAATGATTCCACCAGACGGGCGAGCACTGTACCGAGACTCTCAGGGGGGGCGGTCAAATACTAATTCTTATTATACAGTTTGTGCCTGACATGTATGAGTAAATAACTGAGAGTATTAGGCCTTTATCCCCCAATTTGTTTGATTGAAAATACAGGACTTCATACACTCCTAATTCTCTTCAAATATCCAGATACCTCCACTCATGCGTGCTTGCGATCCAGCACACACCTTCTGTCATGATCGGACGTTTCTTTAATGCTTTTGCAACGTCGTCACTCTACATTTATAGCTTGCTTAGCTCAGTTTTAGCAAGAAAACAAACGCATTAACACCATATGTCAATGCTATTTGGGATGTTTTTCAGTATGGTTGTCATCAGTTGCGCTAAAGACGAGCTCTCGCTAAATAGCCAACGTTAGATGTTACCCATTAGTCTCAAAGAAACGTCGCGAGTTCAGCGTCGAGCCTCGTCTCTTTACTCGGCCAAGAGCTGTCTCCGTACTCTTTGTTTTGCTCGGGGCAGCTCTCCGTCTTCGTCCTCTCCTGTTGGACCGGGACGCTACAGTGACTCACCGTCGCCTCATCAGGAACAAGTGGTATTGCAATACACGACGGGGCGGGGGCTAGCTGGTTAGCACGCTCATTTCAGCAGATATCTCTGCAACGCTACACATGGACGTCTTTGACGTAACGTCAACACTTTCAACCAATTGTTTTTAAGTTCATCTTTGGAATGTTTGAACTAAAATTCTGTCTATATTTCAGACAATGCACCTTTTAAACATTGACCATTCGGCCTTTATTGTGCGATGTAGCGCCACAGCTCGTTCTCCCTGACCCTTAAAACGCCTTATATTATATTTCATAAAAATGTGATGCTGGAGGACACTTTTTTTATATTTCACAATAGGCATGGTGCCTCCAATATAAAAGGTTGCAGGAAGATTATTTATGTTACATTTTTAAAGATATAATTAAGACTGACCGCACATCAGCCACTCCACATGTGGCACTAAAAGAAACTGCAGTGATCAAAGCTGCAGCAGGTACACAACACGTGTTGGGAGTGTATGGGGAACACAAAGTCCAACAGAATATCAATGAACCTGTCTGTGCCTTTTTAAAAAAAAAAAAAAAATCAAAGTATATTTCTGTGAAGCCTTTAAACAACAAGCCTCAAAAGAGATCTTGCATCAATACACCAGGCTGAGAAAGAGAACAGCTCCTTGCAGGGAAAAGGTCACAAAAGAGGCAAGTCAGCTCGGCCCCTCTTGCTTCAGAAAGTTCAGCCCAATGGTGCCGACAATCAAGAGTTATTGTGCCAAAGGGCTCCTGGAGCTCGCGCTCAGTCCGTTTATCGATCGCGGTCGTGACAAACGTCAGCTGGCACAGGAGCTATGCAGCCCGGAGATAACGGAGGGAAAGGGTGCTTGGGAAAAAAAAGGGGGTTGTGTGATTAGCCAATGACGTGACGCATCCCTCTGATTGCACAGCTTTACAATGTTGCTTATTTATTGGGGAGTCGAGATGCCCTATCACCATGGCGATGTCTTTGCACAACAGATAAGTGGTTGCCCTCACGAGTGGACATGGGGGGGGGGGACTCCTGCTGCCGCCGCTGATCAGGCCAGGGCTGACTGGACGCGTGGCTCACATGGACCCTGTGATGCAGCAGTGTGGGAGCTGTACAGAGTCATGACACGTGACCACTCCAGTGTAGAGAGGGGTAGCTGGAGTACAGGTTAAGAGCTCGTACACACAGCTAGCGGACGGCAGCTTTTGTGGGTGGTCTTGGTCTCAACAGGGTCTCCTGCAAGTTTTTTTTTGAGGGAATTGGTCGTGGATTGAGTAGATGGTGGTATTTTCTCCACAGGAACAGCAACAACGCACATCACTCGCTACCCGATCCGTACATCCTGCCCGGTCGGTTCAGCACATGTGCAAGCTAGTACTACGCACCTGTGGGTAAACACTCTCGTGCACCTTGTGTTTTTCCTCCCTAATAACGCTACGTTGCGAACAACAAATCCGTGTTGAAATCGGCAGGAGGAGAGCTAGTTAACGTCAGCAGCTAGCAGCTGTTGGGCAGCACAGTGTAATCTTGTACAACTTAGTTTTCTGGCGAGAGAAACTTGAATAAATACAGTTGTTTCTATTAGTTGTTTATCGTCCGACATGCAAGTTCAGGTATCGGTATCGGGAATGGAAAAAAGGGTGTTGGAGCATTTCTTGTTACATTACATAAGTGTTTGCCAAGCAAAGTTTTTAGTCCTTTTTGATGCAAGTAAGCTAGCTCCATGCTTCCTACATTGGTCCTAGGGTTCTATTGGCTCAGGATGTTTCATGCATCACCACGCCCTTTGTGTGCTCATTCTTCTATTTTCATAAGGACATATTAGTGATACTCCAAAAGGGATGTAGCAGTTCTTTGTCCAGCACACGCTCCAGGATTAAGAACACAGTAGCAGTCAACACAACTGCAGCAACACTGTTTGCGTGGAGCCTGCTGACTTTGGCTCCGTAGTTAAGTGAGTAGTCGATGAGATACCACAAGAAAACAATGTAATAAAGGATGAGAAACAGAGGCCCCCGCAGGTCCAGAAAGGATAGAGCTGCAGGCAGAGTGGTTGAGTGTAGCGAGCGGCAGAGTAGTGGAATTATGAGAGGCAGAGGCAGAGAGAGCGCTTAGAGATTGTGGGAGTAATCCCCTGGCCATCTGTTGCTCCCTCTCTGCCTCTCTGCCTCCTACACTGATCAGATCCCACAGCCAGCACCAAGCGGAAGCTGACTGCAACAGTAGTAGACCCATGGTGTCACTTCCTGTTCCTATTGTTTCCTGCTCTCTGCCTCACCTTCCAGCTGATGATGTCCTTTAAGTTCAAACAAAATATATATGTTGGTTGTTGTCCAGTTTATTTAAGTAGTCAGACGGGGCAACATTTATTCTTTGCTATGCTGTGGTGAAATTTCAACTTTTTAATCAAACAATCAAAGTAGACCTTTTTGGGAACTACACAAAGTTTTGTTCTCTTATGGTGGAGTAATATCATGATCCGTGTGACTCCATGGTGCGTCTGAACCCACATACCTTTCCCCCCGTCGAAGCTTTGACATGACGTGGTAGGAAAAGCACAGATGTTACACAGAACATGATTGATGGCGCAGCGTCCCTGTAAACCATGACGGTGTACCAGTGAGCCAGTATACACAGCACCAGGACCGTGAAAGGACGCAGCGGAATGTAATTCAGCCATCATTTATTTTATAATTTACACCTGTATGACATGCCAACAATATTTGTCTAATGTGAAAAAGGCCCATGAAGCCCAATCGGTTAACATGGAGGAAAAAAAGGGGAAAATGTGTTGAAGGGTACCATCCACCCTCCGGTTCTCCCTCAGGTAAAAACCGTTAGCTTTGTCAGCACGTTTGCCCGTGGTTTATACTGTTAGCACCATTACCTTTGAGACGACGGCTCAGCCATCGCCTCGTTGAGAGCCGGCAATGCTCCCAATCTCGTATTATGCACCTTTTAAAATAAGGTGTAAGCACATAACCGTTAAATAGTTTGCTCCTGAGATCTTATATCATTCTTGTTTTAAAAGCTACAGGACTATTTATGAATTGACGTCATACGCTGCATGTCTGAAGTTGAACAACCAAAGGAGTGCTCCAGAATCAACTGACCTAAAACATGCACATGCTTAAATAGGTGGAGGCACAGTAGGTTAATAGGGTATTTGTGCAACTCGCTTTGCCAAATAGTGAGCTAAATGGCCTCTAAAGCCATGGAGGGCCCAGCACAGAAATGATAAGCATCGGTTTCCACTATTATGGCCCCCCCTGGTTTATTGCCCTCTGCTCTGTGTCCCACAGTTGGACCCTATGGCTGAAAGGCCTCAGTGGAAAGCCAAAAACAATATCACACCGCCGGTTTCCCTCCACATTTCACTGCTCCCTTTCCGCTTCACAGTACAAGACAGGAAATGCTTTGGAAGAAGTGACGAGTTCCTCTTTTTTTTTTTTTTCTCCTCCTTTTGTGATAACGTGTTTTCGCCACCACCGTTATCCAGAAAGACAAACACTGGGAAAAACATTTTTGTGGCTAAAATTGGAAATCGCTGTTTCAGGAAAACCCAGTAACTACGTATCTCTCCTGCGTAGTCGTTTTAAGGCATGTTACATGAAAATATGAAAGCTTCATTTGTGCCTGCATCATCCCGTCCTGCCCATCTGCCGCCGTGGGGCTCCGGAGCTTTAGGAGTTTATATGCCTGAACACATATCCCGGCCACAGCAATCACAATTAATCCCCTGCAAAGCGCTCCGCAATCCCATAAACGTTATTGTATGCATCAAGGGGCTAAAGATGATCTAAAAATACACCCAAATACACCACGAGGCTTGTTTTCCCGCTTAAATATCTTTTTTATTTTAGGTTTTACGTAATGGCCGCTTTTGCCAAACATTCTTACTTTTGCCATTGTTTTGCCATTGTTTTTTTTGTGCGTTTTCTTTACCAGCTGTTGTGTTTTGTGATACAGCTGTCTGGGCTTATGTTTCTTTATTTCTATTAAAGTTGGTATTGTGCAATCAGATCAAAATGCATTCGTCATGATCAAAATGTGGGCGCCGATCTTCAGTGTATTATTTTCCTCTCATGTCAGGTGAAAGCTCTCACTCGATGCAAGGTTTATGTTCTAGCTTGATGACAAATATTACAACGCTCTAATTTCTAGGGGTGGGAATCACCAGAGGGCCCGCGATACGATATTATCACGATACTTAGTTCACGATACGATATTATCATGATACTGCGATATTATCACGATACTGCGATATTCTGAGTATTGCGATAACATAGGCCTATATTGCGATTTATTACTTTTTTCAACTTCAAATTATGTCCCCAAAGGAAAACTGTGTCAACATGTTTTATCAAATAAGATAAAGTTTTCAGTCTGTTCATCTCACTTCAATAATTTTTATTGCAGCAAAATAGGATTGACCAACAATGTCATAAATGTTGCATGAATCTGACAAGCTGAACTGTTTGTATTACTACATAGTCCAACTTAACTAAATGCAAATGTGTGGACTCAGTGTATGAACTATAACTTATATAAGTAGGATATAAGAATTATATAACTCAGTATAACTTGCGATGCGTGGACGTCGAGGGCAGAGAGCCAGTTATGCGCTGCTCTCTCCCCATGAGCCTGGCTACTGTTGGCAGATTTAACCCCGTTGTGAGGCCAGATGTCTCTTTGTTTTGACCAACTTCCTACCAATCACGCTGACCCGGGACCTTTGCTGACCTCACCAGAAAACAATTCGGCACCATCTAGTGGACTGAAAAAGCAATTGATTTGATTTTTCTAGTAATTATTATTATTTTTTTTTAATAGTTTATATAATAAAAGATCGATACTTGGCGTCCGTGTATCGATACAATATCGCCACGCGAAATATCGCGATACTATGCTGTATCGATTTTTTCCCCCACCCCTACTAATTTCTACCCGAGCGTCCACGCTTCCCTTTGGGAGAACAACTTCCCAAAGCTACACATCAAGAAAGTACATCTGATGTCGGATGAAGATCATTTGAAGAACTATTTGCCTTGTGAGCTCTAGCGGAGGTTCTGATTATTGACACCGGGTTTTCACTAAGTGTTGCATTTATAGAAGAATAGATTGTGTATCAGTGAAGCTTAGTTCTGGATGTATTTTCTCTTTATTACAAAACGTTTTGAAAAACAAAGGGCTCATCCATGTTGATAGAGCCGCACACGGTGTTCTTCAGCTTTGTCCGCATACAAATGAATCGGTCGGGCCTCAATAACACGAGATCCTGTCTGCTGTTCATGACTCACGGCCAGATGTGTTTACAATTTCTGGCTTTTTTTTTCCCTCCCACCGCTGCACTCGAAACATCAGATGCGAGCGGAAGAATCACGTTTCAGTGGAAACATCCCCATCCCACCGATTGGCCTAATCCTTGTTTTTGTTTTTGTTTTGTGTTTCAGTGAAAAAAGCCAAGCTCCAAGGACCACCAGGTGAGTGCTTCTGTTTTCACTTTTCTTATGAATGTTTGCTGTGTTCGTCTGTCGTCCTCGTTGAGTTTTGGAAGCCTTGAAGCTTCCCGTTCAGGAGCCGCATTAATCAGGAAACGGTGTCAGTACACGTCACGTGCACTCCAATGCGGGTTTATCATTCGAATTCTGTTGAGTCGACGAAAGCTCTGGGTTGATTTTTGCATTATGTAACTCCAGTGTCCTTCTGCACAGGTGAGCTTAGATTGGTGGCCGCTAAATCCAAATCCACCTAAGCAAATCCCCTCTAGTGTTCAGCCTCCCGCCTCCCTCTAAGCCGTGGGACAGGAAACGCACTATCATTCTCAGTCCCCGACTGAACACCCACCCCCCCCTCGGGGCTAGCTGAGGATAATTGCTAAAGTTAATTAAACTGCAGTGGGACTTCCCTTAGTCCCTCTTCCTTCACCTTTTGGGAAAACATAATGATGCCTTTACGGTCATGAGCGTCACGAGCGCTGAGATATAGTTTGTTTTTTTAGATCGTCAGCCTCTGCTGGCCTTCTCTGCCCCTCCCCCTCCCTCTTGGCCACGCCACATGTGACACCTGTCCCAGAGCAAACATCAGGGGAGTTCAGTTAAGCCTGTTGTCTCCCTTGGGTGAAATGTAAAGTCACGCTTTTTTATTTTTTTTGTTGGCTACAGGACAAAGTCCGTCTGGCATGACGTTTAGAATACCAAAGGTTATACTTCTACTGTTAATTAGTGCAGATATGTACATGTTGCCGTGTGAGTGACATGAGCACTGTGCGTATGAGAAGCCGGTCTGGGGCCGCCTTCTTGCTTATTTTAAATTTTTTAATTTTTAACATTTATTAGAGGGACATTTCTTCAGAATTCGGGCACGGTGACAGGTTCCACTGTGTTGTGATGCTGCATATTCCTGCTGCCTCAGGTTCAGGTTAGAACATAACAACATAATCCGGGCACTTGTGATTCCTGATCACCCTGACTCAGCAAAGGGAGACGTGGGATTTATTAGAAGAGGCCTCAGAGTTTACACAGGGCTGGTCTGGGATGTGTGTGTTTGCCCTGCACTTTTCACCACACCTTGGGTTGGACAGCTCTCAGGCCTCACGCTGAGCCCTTCCTACAATGACTTGTTTGTGGAGAGTACTGCGTGTGAAGAAGTGAAGGTGCCCTTGGATGGGCTTTCCACTGATTGCCAAGGGAAACTGGGCAATTATTGGGGATTGATAAGGGATGTGTGTCGCTGGATTTGTGTGAGGAAGTCCGAGTGTTTGCCTGCACACATTTTCTGTCAGAATTTAGATTCCTCCCAAAAAAACCCAAAACACAAGCTTTTTCTTGCAACAATCCTCTATTTAAGCATCCTGTTCACATTCTGATCAGTCCACAACTGTTGTGTAGTGAAGATGGAGAAACGTCTCCGTCGGTGGTCCCAACCAAATGTCCTCCTAGGTTGATGTTCTTGTGTCGCATGCAATATAGATGAGCAGTCTGAATTTGAAATGTCAGCCTTCCAGCCGCCTGCGTTTCTTTGACTAATTTATTGAAAAACTCATCATCACTCAATAATGGATGAAGATGCTCGACCGAGGGCTCGGGGGCGAGTGGGTGCTTCACAAAAACATGAAGAGCGCAAGCGGGGCGCCGCATCATTCCACAACTCTGCCTCCTCTTTACGACACACACACACACACACACACACACACACACACACACACACACACACTGACTAGTCTGTGTGTGTGTGTGTGTGATGGAGAGAGAGAGAGAGACGTGTGTCACACACAGAGACGTGTGTGACGTCATGCATCTCAACACGTTACTTTACACATTATTATGATCATCATATTATTAATATTATTGGCATGTTATCAGTCACTTCTGCATTATTATGGCTATATAATTATGAAGTGAGCCTGAATGAAGTACGATAACATTGTTCAACATTGCTTTGACAGGCGATAAATACATAAAGATGAAAGTGTTTGTGTATGAGATTTGCTTTCCCAATTAATTTCAGTCTGGTTATCTTAACTGGATTATAATTGCATCACTTAAATATAACTTGGCTAAATGTTGATTCTAGAGCAGCAACAGTAATGTTAGAAACATCAAAGTCACGATATGAACTTATTAATATCTCATTAATGTCTGTATATGATAATCCGGAGTAAAGTTAGGAAAGAATAAACAACACAGACATCGGTGGGTATCAGTCAATATTATGTGAGGATCATGTGATCGGTCGCGTGTGTGGGTGTGGTTGTTTACACAGTTTGGAAAGCAATGTTTAAGTCTGATGTTGCCTGATCCCACTCACTTCCTCTCAGTTAGGCACACAGCTTATTAATGACATGGATGATAATCGGTCGATGACCAAAGCCCGGGTATCGTTATCGGGACTGAACAAGTTGGATCTCCGCATCCACAGAAAACAGTTTGCTCTTCTTTAGTGTATTGGACGCTGTGTTTGGTTAACAGCTAACTCAACCAGTATAAGATGAAGTAGAGAGAACTCAAATTATAACAGTTACGATGCCAGAAATCATAAAAAAGAAGAAAAAAAACAAGTGGAATCGACACATCCAACATTTTCACAAGTGTTACCAATGTTTGAAAAATAAAGGAGGCTCTACGTGCTATATATAATGAGCTATTCACATTTTTACAACCTCTCCTTTCGCCAGTGCTCTGTGTTCAGCAGCCTGCAGTTCAGTCCAAGTTTCACAGAACTGTTGTCACGTGACTGTTGGTCTCTGGCGAGTCAGTCATGTCTTCCTAGTAGCGCAGAGGAGCTCCGAATTTTATGTTTGTTACAGAATCTTGTTAAAGCAAAGGTTTATTCGGGGCGAGAATTTAAAATGAGTCATTTAGAATAAAATGTTGTCGATGAAATATCACAATTTTAAGCTTTGTTTTGGTCACGTTTTCTGACCGAAGCGTTGGTCACACATGATGTGTTCGAGGACGTTCCAAAAGATAAAAATCGGACGATTGTGACAGTTTTTACAGCTTCTGGCTGTGATAAACTCTTTAAAGGAAACATGCTTTTCCAGGTTTTGGGGTCGAAAGGGTTAATGTGATGTTTTTGCGGACAGATCCAGTATGTCAGGCTTTAGTGTGCAGGCATACACTCAGTGTGTTGGTTTTTTTCCGGGCAGTTATTGCTGCTTTCTCCTCAACAGTGCAGATTGTATCAGCCACATTGTGGGCAGCACCTGCTGGAAACGTCCCACAGCCACTAAGTGGCTCTTATCTAATCCATACATCCTCTTCCCTTATCTCATCTCCTCTAATCATGGGAGCCGGCCCAAATGTGGCACAAGGCAGGACTATCTAATTAGGGGGAAAGGGTTTGAGCATCCCCCAGGCTCCTTTGTAATAAAGCCTGTGTTTTGTCCCAGTGTCCCCCCTCGGGACACTAATAAGGTCTGTCTCCTTTCACTCAGGGTGCTTGTAGGAGGGACCTTCTCTTTTGTTTTCTGGGCCTAGTTGAATCTTTATTTATGTTGCGTGTCAGCTGACTGTCGTCAGAATCCAGCTGTATCAGTTGTTGTCTCATTGTGTCGAGCAGTTGCGTCGACTTATCTGGCTGCAGAGTAAATGTTTCAGCACGTCGCCGGGGCAACCAGGAAAATAATCTTTGTTTAGTGTGGTCAGGTGATCGGTCAAAGGAACAGCTGATGCCTTGCTTTGACTTCCCATAGACCAAAAGTGTGTGTGTGTGTGGGGTGTTTTTTAAAGCTGAAAAGATAAATGATTTATGATGAACTATTTTGATCATAAATTCCAAAAACATTCTAGTACCATCTTTCAGATTTGCTGCTTTTCTTTGTCCCATGTGATGGTAAAGTGAATATTCTGGAGGTTTTGGACTGTTGGTCTGGTACAGCAAGCAATGAGAGGACCTCACTTTGGACCAAACAATGGAGAAAATAATCTAAATAATCTAAATAATCTAAATAATCTACAGGGGGAGCTGTAGCCCTGATGAGTCTCCTCACTGATATTTTGGAAGTGCAAATCTGAAATGCAGTCATTGAAAACTGAAAAAAACAAGTGGTGAGTTGTTGTTTGGAGGGCTGGCCATTCCGGCGGTATACTCTCTTTTAACATCACATACAGACAGGAACATGGATGGGAATTGACCACAGCATTTAACCCACGCTAAGCATTTTGAGGAGCAGCAGTGAGCTGCTTTGCAGTGTCCTGGGGAGCAACATGGGGACATGCCGGGGATCGATCCGCCAACCTCGTGGTTGAAGGAGGTCCCGCTCTCTCCCCTGAGCCACTGCCGGTTTATTAATACAACACCTTCCAATAAATCCGACCTTCAGTAAGGCAAAAATGTTCTTTATTGCTGTTGAAATGTTTCAGAGACCTATTGATTGAACGTTTTTGAGGCTATAATGTCTTAAATACATTGTGTTCTAGAATGAGAAGGTTTTCTGTTATTAAGCTACCCTTGTTGATAGAAGTGTGGGAACTTTCCTACGACCAAGTTATCTGTCCCTTTGATATCTTTGGGACTGTTAGGCTGCCCTGTTCACAGTGTTTCGTGCCTGTTTACTTATTCATTCCAGTCCAATGTTTCAGTTTATTTGATACATCGTCTATTAAGGTGTATGAGTGACACAAGCTTGTTTAGTTTGATATACGGGTCGTTGCCTTAATCAGGTATGTTTTCCCTCATTATGTCCTCTTAGCAGGCGCTGTTAAGATGCAGGAGGACAGTATAGCTCATTCCCTAATAGTCTCTGTGCTTGTTCGGTAGATGGGCGCCCGTAGAGCGATGGAGTCGTCAGCAGTAACTTAGAGATCTCAGGTTACCGTTTTGTTCTGTGTGATTTGGAGGCCTGCTCTGTTCGGCACACCCAATGCTTACCTGGGCAGGTGGTACGTTCCGGTTAGTCGAGGTTGAGAAGGTTCAAATCCTCAATCACTGGAGGGAGTGGTGGAGGGGGGTAATGACATTCCCGGGTTTTGTTTTTCTGCCCTTTGTTTCAGTAAACTTTTTGTTAATAAAGAACTCTTTCATATCAGTGAGTAGCACTACGTTGTCCTGATTTGCCATGTATTTAAGTCAGTTGATCCGCTAAAAACTTCCCTTTCTCATTATTTCCTCCATATAGAGTTTGAAATTTGTAATATTTTTATATATATCACAGAATAAAGGTGCATATAATGTGATGGGAGATTTGCTCCATTAACCCATACTCAAGATCAGCATTTCAACCTAAGCTGTTTCCTCCAGCTGCATGCTCTTGTGCCCCAGGTAGGGGGTTGGATTTATGCTGCTAGAATTGTGTGTGTGTGTGTGGGGGGGGGGGGCGCGTCGTCGCAGGGAGGACCACCGGCGGCGCGATGAGGTCGGTTATCTATCAGAGCGAAGCACTGAGCATATCGGCAGGCACGTGGTGACGCACCCTCTCCCTGAGGGGAATGAAACAGTGGCGGCTGTGTCACCGGCCATCTAATCCTCCTCCCCCCCCTCCCCTCATCCTTCAGCCATCACCCCGCCCAGGGCTGACAGCTGGCGTGGGCGATTGTTTTGCGGCGCCACTGATGGAGATCACCGGGTGGGGAAATTGTCTTGGCAGTGCCAGTTAAACAAACACCAAATTGAAAAAAACAACGGAGTTCATTTACTACTCTGTTTGTAAAGGCTGTCACCTTTTGACCTCACTGAATTTCCCTTCTTTAGCCTTGATCGTATCGGGGCTGACGGAGACCTTTTCCGCAGCAGTGAGAGGTCAGGAGGAACTTCCACTCTGTTGCATTACCAGCGGACCTTCTGCCTCTGAGACGTGTGTGTGTTTAGTGGGCAGTTATTAGGAGTGAGTCCAAGAGAGGCTGTGGTCCACAGTGCAGGAGAGTCATAACAGGCAGTTGGATCCTGTACTTGTATCCGCTGCATGGGGCTGGCTCTCTTTGGAGATTAACGGGGTCAGTTTGGCCTGACCCGGCCTGGCTTGACATAGTGGGGGGGGGGCTTGGACTTATCTGCTTCCACTCTCCCTCGAGCTCCTGATGTCTTTTTCTACCACACAAAGCCAGAGTAGAACTGGCATGGTTAGTATTACTTCGTATTGAATGTTTTGTGGCTCAGGATACACAATATTCCTGCAGATATGTTCACGCTGTACCAACAGATCTGTATCTTCTCTCCTGCTCATCTACTCGTATTCCTCTTCTCATAGTCACACACACGTCTCTCTCTAATGCCGCCCCTCGACATGTTCCCAGTTTAAACTGCAATCTCCCTTCTTCTCCTTCATTTCAGACAAGTTCAACACCTACGTGACGCTGAAGGTGCAGAATGTCAAAAGCACAACCATCACAGTGCGGGGCGACAAGCCCTGCTGGGAACAGGATTTCATGTTGTAAGTTAATAAACACGCACACGGCAGTTCCCTTCACAAGACCTGCTTGAGTGTTTATCTACATGCAATGTACATGGTGCGTCCGATTTATGTCAAAACTCTTCAATAATGGAAATGGTCCGGGAGCTCTGAAATCCAATATGAGCTCTAGGTTTTTCATATATTTTAATTTCCCCACCCTAGTTCTTAAATCAACAGGAGAGGTGTCTTGTTTTTCAAGCTATGCGAGTATCGTGTCAAACAGCTGCCGCTCATTTCCTCCCCGTGATTCATTGGTTTAATTTCCTCATTTCACTTTCCCCGTCAAAGGTATCTATGGCGACGAGGCAGCCAGCGCGTTGTTTCGTGTGTGTCATTGTTTGTCTTTTGTGAACTCCCTCATTGCAACGCTGTTTGTTTTTCCAGACCTTCATCCTTCTGCTGTCCCATTAATGATGTGTCAGCGAGGTGTTACCAAACATAAAACATAACCATTCATCGGCATTTCCGGCCAATTCTCAGTACCACCTGTTACAACCAAATGCATGTATTCAACGTATATTCTATTAAAGGGAACACCACATTTCCAAACCGTGAAACTCAGCAGCTAACTTGCTGACGCTGCATTCCCATGGCAGACGGCAAACCAGATATTATTTCGGTCCTCGAACTGCTTTCGTCCCGGATGAAAGCGGTGACTTGTGCGAATCCGGCACAGTAACCCCTGGTTCTGAAAATCAAAGCCAAAAATACCGAACTGGAGCAGTCCACAACCCAATGGGTGGCGAATACATCCACATCGTATATACCGTCTGTAATGCAGATGTTTTATCTTTGGACTGAGTGAAGCTAGCTGTTTCCCCCTGTTCCTAGTCTTTGTGCTAAGCTAACTGGATACAGCTACATATCTATCACACAGATGAGTGCTATCATCTAACTCTAACGGAAATAAATAAAAATGGTGTATGGGGTGGCGAAACAATTAAATCACTTGTATATTGTTTTGGATGCAGTGTTTGGCTAACAACACCCACTCTTAACCGGCCCCCGTCCGGCAGGGTCCGCCAGTATTAACACAGCTAAGAGAAGAGTTTAAAAAGCTATCAAATCTACCAGTACATTTCATGCTGAGTACCTCTCAGCCGCTGCTCTTTGGCTCACTTTTATTGTTATTTTTGGGCGGCGTGTGGGGCTAACAGCGAGCTTCCAGTACACACACTGCTGAGTACGTTGCTGCCACTCAGCCGCTGCTACGCGGGCAGACAGATTGGTCATTTAGTTTTTTGGCAAGATTGTATGAAATGTCTCCCATAAGGAATTCGAGCCAGTAGCATTTATACATCACCACTTGTAAATTAAGTGTGTTTTATGGGCCCTTGGGGGGGGGGGGGGGGGGGTTGTATTTGTTCAATATAGCAGTTGCAAACACACCTGGTGGAGATCTGCACTCTACTGAGTGCACCTTTCTAGTTTATTCTATGGCATTTTCAATGAGCACATGATTTAGAAAGCCTGCTGTGCAGTTCTGCACCTGGACCCCCCCCCACAGCTCTCTCAATTAGCTGCTGTCTTTGATTATCTTTTCTCTCATCTGCCTTTTGTGTGGCCCGTCGATAGTTGTGAACTGCCACAGATGAGAATATGCAAATGGCCTTGTGAAGCGGCTCCTTTCACAAATTGCTATGCCATTTTGTCGCTGTCATCAAGCTGTTTTTGAGCCCTTTGAATAGCACGCTGAATGTCACAAAACAAGGCCTGAATGTATTATGACAGCTATTACACAACAAAAAGACGAGGTAGCCTTTGTTATGAGCCGCTGGTCGGGCCTGCCTGTAATTATGGAGACACTTTCTGCCTCAGTGAGTGCGAGTCGAGTGATATATTGGAAAGTTTTCTCGCTTTAAAAAAACAAATTCTGATAACAAAGCCTCAAACTACGCAGTCCTTGTTCCGCTTACATTTCCCACGCTGTTTATAAGCGAGGGCTTTTTAATATGTGTTTTTATGGAAGCTTGACATTACTTGATACATGAATGTCGACCCCTATTTTCCTCTTAGCGAGATCAACCAGCTGGACCTCGGCCTCATCGTCGAGGTGTGGAACAAAGGCCTCATCTGGGACACCATGGTGGGGACGGCTTGGATGCCTCTGAAGGGCATCCAGCAATCAGAGGAGGTCAGATCACCCACCCACCCACGCACGATTCACATAGTCAGCAGAAAAGTAAAACATGCAGTGGGAAGGACTTCCTTCCAAAACACTGATTGATTTTTTTTTTTTTTCTTTTACAAAACAGTGGTGTTTTTTTTTTTTTTTTTTTTTACCATTTCCCTGCTGGCATCATTATATTCATCATTGACGATATTTTACCTCCATAGACATTCATATTCAATGTGGCCTCAGTGTTAATTAGCTTAGAAATAATACAAATGCTCAAAGATGTATATACCTTAGCTATATTACTCCAGGAAATGATGATAATGGTATAGAGTATGTAGAGTATTGGACACATAGAAGGTCCAATTCTCTACCAAGGTCAATCTCAATCTGTCTGTTTGTCATCACTTGCAATTGCCATTCAACCCTCATCTACCTGCATGCATGTCTTTTATTATTGCTCTGCTGTGTTGAAAATGTAGCGTGAGGGTGTCTTGAGTGATGTTTCCACTTCTATTAATTGATTAATTCCCTCTTCTTTTATTATAGTTTCTGCATGCTTATAAAGGATAAACGATGAATAACTTTGTTTGTAACTCATTTTCATGTTTTTTTAGGGTGACTTTGTAACATCTGTCCGGAGACTACAGATATAAAAAAAATAGCATCTTGGCTAACTCTGGTGCATTGACAGTGATGTGTTAATAATGTGCACTGTCCCTACCGAATAAACCAATACAAAACAATATACGTATCTCCATTGCAGGAGGGCTCGGGTGACTGGATCCTTCTGGACGCGGAGGTCCTGATGAAGGCGGACGAGATATACGGCACCAAGAACCCGACGCCCCACCGCATCCTGCTGGACACGCGCTTCGAGCTGCCTTTTGGTGAGACATCAAGAGCTGCCAATCCTTTATTTATTTCACTTTCTCTTTGTTTTAGCTGGGAATCTTCAACGAACGAACAACACTTTTGAACAGTTCAGTTGGTTATTTAAGACGTTTTCCCCCCGAGCTGTCACCTCAAGTTCCTGCTCACGACAACAGTTTAGAAGGGGGGGGGGGCATTAGTGATTCCGGTTCCCTCTGGGCAAATCAAAACCTTGATCCGCTGAGTTACACAAAGGCCACGCGTGTTTTTTCCTGCCGAAATGTCAGCGGCCGCTTCACAAGCCTATGCTGGGAAGAGCTACCCAGCCTGGAGCGCTGTCTAACTAACTGATGACGTCCTGTAACCCGGTGTCCCGTAGTCTTATGCAAGCATCACCTCAACTCAAGTAAAGAAACAAAAGGACCACACGGACAACAACGTGCATGAGTAGAGGACGAGGTCACAGTTTCTTCTGAATGAAATTGAATCATAAGAAAATAACATTATCTCATTGGGTGATGTGAAGGAGGACACTTGAGTTGACCAGCTAAATGCGCTCTTATATATTTGTCCTCTATCTGGTTCCACTGGGGATTAGGACTTTCTGTCCTTTTTAAATTGAGGGCACTGATTCATCAATGGCAGATCTCCCTTTATTAACTTAGGTTCAGTAATATCATTTGGTCTTTGCCAGGTTGTTCCATTGTGGTCAACAGGATTAAAGAACCATTAAGAATGATTTTATTTATATATATAATATATATATACCACAAAGAAGTGGAGAGTATGACTGTGGGACAGTTTAGGTCACTTCCTCACTTTTTTTCTGGAATGATCACAGCAACATTTGTATACAACTAAAGCTGCATTGATTGTTTTTTTGGGTGTTTTTTCTGCCACTTGGGGCAAGAGGAAGTCTACAACAAGCTCACAGACACAAAACCCTGGCATGTTATTGTCTCATACATTTGTAACATGTTGGCAAACAATTGCCTTTTTAAATGTCCATCAACATGAGCCTTCATTTGGTGTAGGGCTGGGCGATACGGCCTAAAAATAAAGTCTCAGATTTAATTAATAATTTGTCTTGCTCTTCAGCTGCTAGATGTTCCACAGGCTGTTGATTAGAAGAGCTTTAATGTTTTCCATGGTTGAAGTCACAACGTACTCACTACACCTCGTTCGGTTTTCAGACAGCATGCTAGACCCTAGAAATTAATTCATTTAACAATGTAAAAAGCCCTATGCCCTGGATTTAATTAGATTTTATTGTTTCCCAGAGGACAATTCAATGCTCTGCGAGGTCTCCTGCTCTCTGTGTGTTCCGGCTACAGCATCTCTGTTATTATCGGCGCTTCATATCGGGCTCAAACGTTGCGATCAAAAGGCATCAAAGCCGAAGCAGGGCTGCTGTGTTTTCCGTTTTAAGAGGAGGCCTTTCAAGGCAGCAGGAGGCCACCGCGACTCTCTGTGGCACCAGAGCCATTCATTAAAGCTGCGGTCCGGTGTGTCTTTGAAGCCCTGGCCTTTGTGTGCGTGGCCTTTAATGTGCGTCTGTCTGCAGCGCAGGACTGGTCAGAGCACCTGGTCTGATCCTTCTTCCTTTCTTTTTGTATTTATTCATGTGGGACTTGGTTTAGCTTAGCAGCACATTTTTGCCCCGACACAACTAAGAATGACAAATGATGAAAAGCCTTTTCTGCACGATACAGTTTAATGAACATTTGAAAATGAAAAAAAGATAAGAAACTGAAGGAGATGTAACACATCTTTAACAACGTTAAATGACCTTTTCAATCAGACAACTATGAAACACAATCTCAACCATGCACACAATCCTGAAAACTTGAAGCTCATACACAAAAAGACTCAAAGCACATTTCCACTGTTTTCTGTCCAATAGAAATTATAAATCATCCAGGCCTGATGTAAAAACATCAGGCCTGGTTGATTTATAATTGAATGCAGTCCATAACTGAGTAGATAGAGTTGTTTATGCTGTGCAGATCCTTCTTTCCAAAGGGTTTCTGCTCTCACAGAAAAGGCTCATTGTTCAATTTGTCTGCATCTAAATGGCACAATACAGTCTCCTCATGCCCATGTTTTCCTGGAAGCACTGTCCATGAATTCATCAAAAAGAGAGATGCAATTTCATGTGGTTTTGAAAGCACAACAGTACTCTCGTCACAGATATGGTTGGGGAGGTTAGGTTCAGAGGGAAACAAGAACACACACTCCCGTCCTGTGCTTGGATGTGACGGTTGTGAAACAAATGTACACTTGATGTTCTTTATTTCCCAAAAATGTTTTCAACCAGAACGTGTTGTACAATGTGTATACTCTAACAGTGGCAGGTCATGTTTCAAACATCAGAAACAAACAGATACCCACCTCAACCGTAACTACAATAGATATATGATGGAGAAAAGAAAACAAGAAAAAGTGTTTGCCCCCGTCCTGATTTCTTATTTTTTTGCATGTTTGTTACACTTAAATGTTTCAGATCATCAAACAAATTTAAATATTAGACAAAGATAACACAAGTAAACACAAAATGCAGTTTTTAAATTAAGGTTTTTATTATTAAGGGGGGGAAAAAAATCCAAACCTACATGGCCCTGTGTGAAAAAGTGATTGCCCCCCCCTGTTAAAACATAAATTAACTGTGGTTTATCACATCTTTGGAAAGCTGAGTTCAATTTCTCTAGCCACACCCAGGCCTGATTACTGCCACACCTGTTCTCAATCAAGAAATCACTTAAATAGGACCTGCCTGACAAAGTGAGGTAGACCAAAAGATCCTCAAAAGCTAGACATCATGCTGCGATCCAAAGAAATTCAGGAACAAATGAGAAACAAAGTAATTGAGATCTATCAGTCTGGAAAAGGTTACAAAGCCATTTCTAAAGCTTTGGGACTCCAGCGAACCACAGTGAGAGCCATTATCCACAAATGGCGAAAACATGGAACAGTGGTGAACCTTCCCAGGAGTGGCCGGCCGACCAAAATTACCCCAAGAGCGCAGCGACGACTCATCCAAGAGGTCACAAAAGACCCCAGAACATCAAAGAACTGCAGGCCTCACTTGCCTCAATTAAGGTCAGTGTTCATGACTCCACCATAAGAAAGAGACTGGGCAAAAATGGCCTGCATGGCAGAGTTCCACGACGAAAACCACTGCTAAGCAAAAAGAACATAAAGGCTCGTCTCAGTTTTGCCAGAAAACATCTCGATGATCCCCCAAGACTTTTGGGAAAATACTCTGTGGGCTGACGAGACAAAAGTTGAACTTTTTGGAAGGTGTATGTCCCATTACATCTGGCGTAAAAGTAACACGGCATTTCAGAAAAGGAACATCATACCAACAGTAAAATATGGTGGTGGTAGTGTGATGGTCTGGGGCTGTTTTGCTGCTTCAGGACCTGGAAGACTTGCTGTGGTAAATGGAACCATGAATTCTGCTGTCTACCAACAAATCCTGAAGGAGAATGTCCGGCCATCTGTTCGTGACCTCAAGCTGAAGCGCACTTGGGTTCTGCAGCAGGACAATGATCCAAAACACACCAGCAAGTCCACCTCTGAATGGCTTAAGAAAAACAAAATGAAGACTTTGGAGTGGCCTAGTCAAAGTCCCGACCTGAATCCGATTGAGATGCTGTGGCATGACCTTAAAAAGGCGGTTCATGCTCGAAAACCCTCCAATGTGGCTGAATTACAACAATTCTGCGAAGATGAGTGGGACAAAATTCCTCTACAGCGCTGTAAAAGACTCATTGCCAGTTATCGCAAACGCTTGATTGCAGTTGCTGCCAATTGTGGCCCAACCAGTTATTAGGTTTAGGGGGCAATCACTTTTTCACACAGGGCCATGTAGGTTTGGATTTTTTTTCCCCCTTAATAATAAAAACCTTCATTTAAAAACTGCATTTTGTGTTTACTTGTGTTATCTTTGTCTAATATTTAAATTTGTTTGATGATCTGAAACATTTAAGTGTGACAAACATGCAAAAAAATAAGAAATCAGGACGGGGGCAAACACTTTTTCACACAACTGTAGATAGATATAGATATATAGATAGATATATAGATATACAGATAGTCTTTTTATCTGTTATAAACTCGGTTGTAATGCCTGTTTTAAATTTCTCACCTTAAGTCTCACCTGTAGCATCTTTGGACATCGGTTCTCTGTCGCTGTGCTGGAAACTTTTTCTGATGTTTCCGTTCCTCGTCCTATACGTTTTGTGGCCATTGCTACAGTAACAGTAACTTAACTGTTTTCGTTTCCTCCCCCCTCTAAGAGGCTCATGAGAAATTGAACGGGGCGTTAACGTGTTATGAAGGCCTCCTGGAATCTGATGCTTGAGATCAGAGGGAGCAGGATGGTAACTTCAAACTTTACATCCATGTTTATCTGATGTGTCATACACATTTCTGTACCAGACATCCCAGATGACGAGGCACAGTACTGGACGGGAAAGCTGGAACGCATCAATACCATGGGAATCCACGATGAGGTGAAGTGCAACTTAACAACGTTTTACTACTGATAAATACACCGCACGTCTTGCTGGTTTGAATGTTGCCATTTCACAGTTGAGTAAGCAGAAGTCTACCAGTTGTCTTTTGTCAAAAAGGATGTGCTTGTATGTTCCTGTTTCCTACTTGCTCTAATGACTTAGAACTGCCTACTTTATCATGTTTGCTGTGAGTGTTGATGAAGCTGCGCTAGTGAACTACTGTGAGAAGTAACAGCAACACGAAAGACGTGCTTGACAACTGCTGTTTGTCTCCTCTGTAGTACTCTCTTCAGGAGGACGTTCAGAGTCGCCCGCTGCCATTTGCGGCCTCCCAGTGCTGTGAGTGTGCCCGCCCGTTCTCCCCTCGACCTCCAGAGGGAGCCGGCTCTCCACCGTTCTGCCTCTCAGGCTTTGATATTATTTCCTCTTCTCTTACTTAAACCCTGTTGGGCTGCCTGGTGTTGTGACAGTTGAACACTCTTACTCGGAGTTGAAAACTGAGGACTAGACAAAGTCGATATTTTTTTAGCAAACACAACCGAGAGCCCATATGCACGATAAACATTGTCACTGTTGGGCTTCCCTCATCCTCCCACTATGACAACACAGGGACTCTTTTCTTTGTTTTCACAACCCCTGCATCCTCTGACTGTACCTCTCACTTTGTAACGTCTGCACTTCCACCAGGCAACTATTTCGGATGGGCTGACACACTGAGTATGTAAAACAACACTTTGATGACATTCTCTCTCCCCGGCCAATCCTCAGTGCCCTCTGCATGTCCCACTTTCACCGTATTCCCCACTAACATGTCCTCGATAAGGCTTCCAAGCATTTTTTTTTCGTTATTTCACTCTTAACACTTGATTTTCCTCAGTGATTCCCTTAATCCCCCTTTTGCCTTTTTTGTTCACTTCCAATCCCTGCTTTCGCCGTTTCCCTCTTTACGCTCTGTGCTGATGTCATATAAATCTCATCTCAAATATATACTTCATCCTTAAATTATTGGTTTAGCACGCGCCCTACAAAAAGTTCGGACAACTCATCAAAGCAGTGATGTTTTTTTTTTCCTCCCTGAAATCCATGCATGTTTTTAAATCCAATGATAATACTGAGATCAATAATATTAAGATACAATTAGCAATACCTGTAGAAATATTTCTGGAAGTCCGCTTAACAACAGGAGCCCTTATCAAATATTAAGGGGCCAAACTGATGGATGGCAGTCTTTGCTAAACTGTATTCATGCTGCGCGCCACCTTGACATTTGTTGTCCTCCCGAGAGATATCAACAGGATCAGTTCATCCTTGGCACTCTCACTCTATCGCTTTGAAAAGATAAACTCTGCTGTCCCCTCCAGCACGCGGCAAACCGGCTTCTGAAAAGAAGTTTTCATAGGGGAATTATTAGGGTCGGCAAGGTCACTTTCAAAAGATGATGCGTGTGTGTGTGTCGGTGCTCTTCTTATGAGCGACACAAGTGTAACATATGTGTAGCACAATATAAACGCTGTCAAAGTGTCCCGTTTGTGGTAAAACACATGCAGATTAGATTTCTACACACGCTCCTCCCGAACTGCTAGTCTAAACTGTTTTGCCACATTGGATTTCTATGAAGCTATTCTTGTGTCTGAACAGCATTTGATGAAAACATGTTGTCCCTATCTTTCGTAGAAAAACAAAAGAGCACCAAATTATACATAACTGAAGCTATATCTGTGAATTATTGATGATACAGCAACAGCATCTACAGGAAAAACACAGATTAACAGCAGCTCAACGTCTTCCATTAAGCAGGAGAGCTTGCACGCTTAAACAAAGGTGCACCACCCCCCCCCCCCCCATGAACCTGGCTTATGCTGACCCCAGTCTGTTTACTTCTTCAGCTCTTAACGGTTTTGTTATGTTGCCAGCTTTTAAGTAGGTATGCATCCTCAGCTTTTAACACGGGTTGACGATTAGCAACGATTATTTAAATGTCATATGATGATCACATATTGAGCGCACCCTGTCTGCATGTTGCAGCTCTGGATGACCAGGACAGCGCCGTGGACGACCGGGACAGCGACTACCGCAGCGAGACGAGTAACAGTCTGCCTCCGCGTTACCACACTACGGCTCAGCCCAACTCCTCCATGCACCAGTATCCCATGGGGCCTCGGCAGCAGCAGCAGCAGCAGCAGCACCACCACCCGGACTCCTGCACAGGCTCGGTCCACAGTCTAGACCTGGACTACAGGGACCAGAGGGGAACCAGGTAGTCGCAATATCGAAAGTGCGAAAGCAGACAACCAATGACCACTTGTTAATCAAATATGTCAGGCTTATCTTAGCTCACACAGTATTTTATATCTCACTCTATAAGATATACACATCACAGACAACTTTCCGATTCACAGTGGCAGGAGAAGTCATTTTAATTCTCATGCTTCTTACATTTTGTCTGATAGTTTGCATGACTAAGAATCCAACTGATGCCTGATGATTTCCTATGCTCCATAGTAGACGGTTCATTTCGCTGCTTTAATCGACCAGGTGGGGTCTGTTCTGTCCAGGGGAACAGGGTTTTGTCACTTCCTGTTTCCAGCCTAAGTGCCGGAGTGCATTCATTCGTTGTTGTATTCGTCCACTCACTTGCACGTCACAAGGAATGTTGGACTTTTTGTTTTGTATGACTAAAGTCAGAATGTAGTTGAGATGTCCACATGTGTGTGGTGACTGTTATTAAAGATTATTTATATTCAATGAAAAAATTGTTTTCTATTTAAATACAGAGGCAAAGACAGGAAAAGACAATATTAGTGACACTATTGCTGTAAAAAAAATAATACATCGTTGTTACTACACAGCTATTTTGAGGCCAATTTTGGCCAATAAGACAAATGGTCTCAGTGCATGGAATCTACTTTTGTGCTTTCATGGATTGTCACAGAATACATGTGTACCAGTGAGACTGCTGCAAATCTGCCTGTGTGGACTGATAGGAAGTTGATCCGGATAATCCTGTATCAGAAAAAAAAAAAAATGGGATTACAGCCAGGGAAAGCTCATTGTTGGTGTTTCTTTTTGTCTTGAGGTTCTGTTGTGTTGGTTGAAGTTCGGTAGTTAGAAAGGCTTCGAACTTGATTTGGCCATATCACTGATTATCCCTCTGGAGGGAGTGGGTCGGTGACACACATACACATTTCTTTGGTGATTGAAAACGCCATATGGCGGTGACTTACTGTAGCATGCTTTTCTCATGACCACTGTCGCAGGCTGAGTGTTGAAGCGCTGATAAGCATGACTGTTGCTGTAGGGATTTACAAAGATCTAAATTCACAGAGGCGCATGCAAACATAGGGACACACAAACACTCACGCACTTCCATACACATTCAGTTTAATTTAGCATTTTACGCAAGCACACAAAAATGTGTTATACAGTATTTTTTAGGCAGCTTCTGCTTTTCTTTTCTTACATTTTTGTTGCAATTTTTCCATCTAGCTTTGCTTTCTGATGAAATGACGGTGTCTTAAAACCTCACAAGATTAACATAAACTGCGACATATTATTTAGCCTGCAGTCTATGTAAAGAACATTGTAATGTTATTGCAAAATTGATAACTAAGCTGAATTGTGTCTATACATTTGCATGAAGTGTTTCTCACCTTGAATTTAATTTATCGTTCTGCTTCATTTATCATTCAGCTTAACTTTTGTTTGCATTTTTTCTTCTTTGTTTGTTTGCTTCTTCTATTCTGTCCCTGTAACCTTTCCCACCCTTTTGTTAAATCAATTCTTTAACCTAAATTAGATCATTAAACCAGAAAGGAAGGGTCAGAATTATACCTGTAGATTCCGGCATGGGGGTCGAAGATTGGGACAAAAAATACAAAGGGCATGGCAAGCCCCAGCTGAGTGACTTCCTGGATGATCGAGAAGACAACGTTATCCTTCGGATGGGGAAACCCTACCCCGAGCCATCACATACCTCTAGCCGTCTGAATTCACAACACAGCGGCTTTCTGCCCCCCACCTACCCTGAAGGCTATGACACTATTGATCGGCGGCGAAAGAAAAAGATAAGGGACCCAGGGGGATTGCTCAGTACAGAGGCAGACAAAAACAGGGAAGAGGCTTTTCCTTCTGACCTTGCACTGCTCCGTGAGAAGAGAGGGGAGCTGTTTTTGCGGCAGGTAGTTGAGATGCAGGAAGAAGAGGAGCGTATTACACCATGCCTGAGGCCACACCAGAATGCGCTTCTCTACAAGACACGGATGTGGGCGAAAAATGAGCTGGACAACACTTTGGAGAATTATGTGGCATACAAAAATGAGCAAGACGCTAGAATGAGGGCGAGGTTTGACTTTGATTTCGAGAACTCTGAGGATCTACACTACCCCATTGGAGCAGAGGAGGACATTGATGACATTGCTTTTATGGCGGAAGACCTTCACCCAGATAACGCAAGGCATTACAAAGACAGGTATTCTTACTCCTATCACATAGAAAATTGTCAGGGCTCTCGAGAGAAGAAGTGTGGGAAAGCTAAACTTGGAGGATGGGCTCCAGAGGCAATGCTTTCTCCTGTAGAGGAACCAAGTGATGAATATGTAGACCCAATGGATGAGCTTCAGTGTCTAGTTGAAACAGTTTCTGAATACCTTGCTGAAAAAGAGGAGGAAATTAGCAGGTATGGTTCCCTTCCTAAATCAAGCAAATCAAGGCTATCATCTCTGGGTAGCTATCGAACCGATTCTTTTGGAGAGGACCAAAATAGTTCATCAAAGGATCCTAGAGGAGAGACCCAATCAAACACCCCTTCTGATCAGGGTATATCTGGTGTAAAAAGTGCCATGAGCTCATTATTTAGTTCTCTCACTGACAGAGTTGGAGGTGGATCCAAACAGCATGTCCCGTCTCCACAAGCATCCCCTGCACAACCTTCCAACCAATCTGGACTAACAAAACTGTTGTCCTTTATTCCAAAATCAAATAGCTTAGCTCCTGTAGCTATTGTATCTCCAGTAGAGAGTTGTCATGACAAATCATCCAGTTATTCGCCTACTCAGCCACCACATGAAGCCAAGACGCAAGGTCAAGAAACAAAAGCTCCAGCAAGGAGTCAGACTCAAACAAGTACAAAAGAAGAACAGAAGTTTATAACAAGACCTCAAAGTGCTCCAGGAAACTCAGTGTTGGGGAAATTGAATCCTTTGAAGCTTTTTTCAGCAGGGGATAATGAGAACTCAGCTCAACAGGCACCAGAGTCCACGTATTCTCAAGGCCATACACAATGGGATGAGGATTGTGTTCGTCAAGGTAAACAGTCAGCGAGGGAAGAGGGAAATACAAAATCGGAAACATTAAGAAGTTCCTCACAAGAGAAATATTTGGAGCAAAAACTAAATACAAATTTGTATGGCAGAGAAAATCCGATGATTTACGACAAAGAAAATTTGCCGGCAAGGCCGACTGGCCAAACGCAATCACCAAACACTGGATTCTTTAGCCCTTTCAAGAAGTCATTCGGTTCATTGATCTCACATGCTGTCCCCATTCCACCTCAGGGAGCTGTGGCAGTTTATCCAGTGTTTAGATCCACAGAGAATCCCCGACTAGAGAAACCAGTGGAGGAGCCATCATTGAGCAGTAAGCTTAAACTGCCTTTCCTCTCCTCTGAAAATGTCTCCACTCAGCAGCGTCCCAGATCAGAAGGAGGAATGCTCTCTGGTTTTTTAAAGTTTGCATCCAATGAAGATGATAGTGCCTCCATAAACACACAGAATCCTGTGCAATCATATCAAGATTCAACAACAACAACCACAATTACACCAAATCCTGGTGTGCCCCAGGAAAACACTGAGAAAGGATGGTTTTCCAGCCTATTTAATCCTACCTCTGCTCCCTCTGGTTCAAACCAGAATTTTACTAGTAATCAGCAATATCAGAACATCAACGTGTCATCTGGCTCACATGGACAAAACACATCAATTCAGAAACCAATAGCAGACCCCCATGGAATGCAGCATCAAGCTCCCAGTCAGCCTGAATCAAATTATTCGACAGGTCTTTTCAAAGGGAGCTCGACTGAGGACATCTCTCCCATGGGCTCTAATCAACCCAAAGAAGGACTTCTATCTGGACTTCTTAAATTTGGCTCTACCAGTGACCTATCTGGCAATTTGCCACAGCAGGCCTCCCACAACAATCAACCACCCAGGAGCAGTAATTCCTCCCAGTCTCCCAATCAACCTCCCCCACAACAAAGTTATTCTGTACCACGGATGGGGGGCCTTGTCTCGGGGCTATTGAAGTTTTCATCCACAGAAAATATACCACAGAATGCACAGCCTTCTGAAGCTGAAAAGCAGGGGAGCATCCCTGGAAATTACTCTCATCAGCAGCAGACTTCAGATGAAACTCAGCAAATGCAATCTCAGCAAAAGGGGTTGTTGTCTGGCTTGCTTAAATTTGCATCCTCTGAGAATGTTTCAAGCAGCCAAACAGTTCAGCACCAACAAAGCAGTGCTCAACACAATCAACATGGTTTCAACCAACAGAATACTCAAGGTCCAAACCAAGGGCCTCATCTTAGGAATATAGCATCAGGTCAGCAAGTTGTCCAACAGGAGGCAAGTAAACCAGGCTTTACTCGACAACAAACGGTTCCACTCCAGCGAACAACATCTCAACAAAGTGGTCTCTTATCTGGTCTTTTCAAATTTGCTTCAGCAGACAACATAAATGCACAACAGCAGCCATCAGCTCAACAGCACGGAATTATGCCAAGTAGATCCAGCCATGAGCAACCAGGATCAAGGCATATCCCAATTTCCAACCAAAATCAACCACAAAATAGCTCAACACAGAAAATTACTCAAGCAAGTGGTCTACTTTCTGGACTATTTAAACCCTCATCCGAAAATATAGCTCAACAGCAACAGCCCAACGTCATCCATGAGACACAACAACAAATCAAAGTGCCAAGCAGCCAGACCACTGCAACACAGGCGGAAACAGCAAGTCAATCTGGAGTGCTCTCAGGGTTGTTTAACAAGTTAACAAAATCATCTCAAAACGTTCCCTCAACCTGCCAAACAATGACAGGACAATCACCGCATCAGAAAGCCAATAATAACGCAGTTACAATTAAGACCCCACTACAAAGACAGTTACACACTAATGTAACACAACAATCCTCACATGAACATGCAGAGAAAGAGAAGAGGATTCCACGACCTGCCCAACAAGGGTTTTTATCTGGACTGTTCA